CTAGAAGAGTTGGGTCGAGCTATCGAACGATCCGGAGAGTCTCTCTTGTACCTTCAAACAATAATAATTAATCAGCCCCAAATCTTACTTAATTGTTCAAAGCTAGAATTCTTAAGTATATAAGCATTTTTCCGAGTTTGACTATCAATTTGGGGTATTTCGAGTCTGAATTTGGCCAAACGGATTGCGGAATCGGAATCAGGACGTCGAAAAATATAAAGTATGACTTTTCAAAAATCCAAATTCTTGGTCAAAGTCAAAGTCAACCACTTTGACCGTAGATTTGGAGACCTTCGGATTCGAATTTGACAAAACAGACCACGGAAACGGATTCGGCACGTCGAAAACTATCAGGATAGGTATACTCGGAAAAGATTAACGGTCGTTTAATGCTCGGTCAAAGCCATTTTAAGTTTTGGTCAAAGAAAGTCAACGGTCAACGGTCAACGGTCAACGGTCGGGTCGGGTCAACAGTCGGGTCGGGTCGGGTCGGGTCAACGGTCGGGTCGGGTCAGACCGGTAGAACCGGTTGAAAACCGGTCAAACCGGTTTCCAGCAGCCACTCGCCCTGCGGCGGCGCGTGTGGCGCGTGAGGCGTCCTCCGGGGCCCTAAAAATCCCAGAAAAATTTCTAAAAATTATTTTGAGCGATTTCAAGATACTTACAACGATCGGTTCAAATTTTTGAACGGCGGAGAGCTCGATTTCAAATCGGCCGAATCTTTGACTGCACCACCTCCTCACGCGCCGCCGTCTACGGTGGATAAGATTGACACCGGTGAACTCGGAACGGCACAAGGAACACGATGGTGCGGGAGGTGTCGTAAACAGAGCAACGATCAGCGGTGAATTTAAGATTTTCTCGGCGATAGAGCTAACAAAACCGTCGCTACTTTGACTGGAAATTCCCGACGTTTGGCCGCGTTTCGCTTCAATTAATTTGAAGGTTTTGCTCCTCGCTCGATGATGAACACAACGGTGGTTTCAAAACAACGATCGGAATTCGGACGGCGTCGGAATCGAGTTTGGAAGTTGTGTGCGTGAGGAAGGATTTGTGAAATTGATTTCTGTTTTTCAAAACAGAAATCACGCATATATCAATTGTCTGCCGACACTCCATGGTTAAATTCAGGGCTTGGTCCCTGAATTTTCTTTAACTTTAAAACAAGCTCCAAGTTTTAAAATCTTTCAATTCAGTCCCAAATTTTCACAATTAAACCCTCAAATTTTAATTAAATATTATTTTGAAAATCGGGTTGTTACATAAAAACTTCAGATCTTACAAGACCCTGAGATCTTTTAAGATTTACATACCTCAAAGCCACCAAACTTTCAACACACTCACCCTTTAGCAGCCACTATCTTGTAAAGCATGCAAAGAAAACAAGCTCCAACAACACCTGTAGAAAGAAAAATGAGCGTAGAAACAGACATGCAAGAAAAAAGAGCCAACAAAGAGAAAAGAGATATAGAGGTGGGCAACACCACTAACGACCTGCCGATTATAGTCAGTGATGCTACCAAGAAAATGGCAACGCACAAGAATCTGGGAACTGAAACAGCTGTAAGCCTGTAATGCCAGGAGGAAGGGAGACGGTACGTCCCTTCTTTGTATTTGAAGGATCAGACAACAATGGTCGGGGAGTGTGTTTTCCGGTTGGCTCTAAAAATACATTCAGAATCATAGTTAGGCAGTATAATCAATTTATTCCTTTTGATGTGAGTAATAATGATGCTTACACCCTCCGAAATTTTTTGAAGCAAAGTTCATTAATGTCTATGCGAAGAGGCTAACCATGCTACAAAAAAGGAATGTTTAAGAAGGAAAAACACTTCTTGAATCATGGCTCTAAGTTTGTAGAAACAAAACACAAGTAAATGAAGAGTTCGTATTTTTCGAGGAATGTATGGTTTTCTCTCAAAACGGAAAGAAGCCCCATATGAATGAAACATCAAGAAGTAATTTTGATGTGGACCTTTATTATGTCGCAGAAAAGGAATCTCTTCCCCCTCCACCAAGTGAGCTCTCATCCTTAGCAGATTCGTAAGATTGTTAAGGAACAAAGATAAATAAAATTGAATTGCACAATATCCTCAACAACGGGTGGAGGAACAACTTATCAACGCCCAAAGGCTAGGGAGGAAGATGGGTTAAACCAGACATTGTGAGGCAAATGAGCTCGTCGGTAAGAATTTGAAATTATGCCCACAAGAGTCCACCAAACTCCATTGTCATTAGAAACTGAAAGAAGTCATATAAGCTGTCAACACTAATCAGAAATCAAAGGAGAGAACTTATGTAATTCTTTGCTACTACAAGAAAAAGAAGAAGAAGTAGGATGCGTGTCCGCCGCTCCTTAAAAATTGTAAGAAGAAAAAATTGTATAATCATCCGAAATTACCAAGTAAGAACAAGTGTGAAAGTTAAATTTATTATACCCTTTTATAACAATTGTAAATAAATAAGGTCCATAGCTCCTAAGTTAGTTTAAATTAATTACCTTGTATAAAATGATGGAGAAGGTACGGCACTACTAATAAGCATAATATTAATTAGTATACATAGTGCAGTTAAATTGCCGGAGGAGGAAAAATCAAGAATTAATCTTCAAAGGAATCAAGCGAGCTCGTCCTCCAATGAATCTCTAAAGGATTCGGCACTCCCAAGTGAGTGAGCCCTACAATGAATCTCCAAAGACATTTTCGAGTAAGTGCACTCAAGAAATAAATCTCCAAAACCACTTCCAAGTAAGTGCACTCAATTTGACGCTCCCAAACGAGTTTGCCCATCAATGAATCTTCAAAGGGTTTGACCCTCCCAAACGAGCTCGTCCTCCAATAAATCTCTAAGGTTGCGTTTGGTTCACGGAATGTAAGATTACCAGTGGGAATAAAAGATTACCAGGGAATAGGATTACTGGGAATGTTGTATTTTGTGTTTGGTTGGTTTAGCAGGAATGTAAGATTACCGTGTTTGGTCAAAGGAATAAAAGATTATTGGAATGTATATTTGACCAAATTGTCCTTATTATATATTTGTATAATATTACAAATTGTAAAATATTTATATATTTTCTTTAAAAAATTAAATTCATAATATTTATATAATTTTTTTACAAAATTAAAAATATAAAAAATGTTTAATGAAAGGGTAAAAAAAATTTAACCCCTAAACTTCATATAAAATTTTAATTATAGATTTTTTTTGTAAATCTAAAATAATTTAAGGATAAATTTGTAATTTAACCTTCGTAGAATTTTTATTATTCAATGACAGAAGAATGATATTTTTGAAAAAAATAAAAATTTAAGGGCATTTTAGTCCAAAACGCCGGTAATGTTACAATACCTAAGGGAAGGGAGGTAATGACATTCCCGGTAATATACCCCAAAAAATCTACTATTGGTAATAAAACATTACCGGGAATGAGATTCCCAGCCAACCAAACATGGGAATGTGGGATTCCCATCTCATGGGAATCCCACATTCCTTGAACCAAACACCCCCTAAAGAATTTGGCGCTCCCAAGCGAGCTTACTCTCCGATGAATCTCCAACTGACCATAAAAATACTAAAATAAAACACAGAACAACATACGCATCCAATATTGACTCTAATTTGCAGCAACGCATATCCCACCCAAATAGAAAGTTTACACCATCTCGGATTGTCTTGTCAAGCTCCCACCGTTGTCTCATTTCAACATGGTTCATTATGCTTCCCCCCCCCCCCCCCCCCGTGGATGTTGTGGACTTATTAGCCTCTGATGTTTTGGACTTATTAGCCTCTGATGCCGTGTCAGCTCACCGAGATACAGCCCCAGCTGTCTAACCTTTTGTTTTAGGCATCTCTCTTAATTCAAAAAAAAAAAAAGGAAGAAGAGGCATATATATGTCATGCCATTTTTTAAAAGGTTTACACAAATATGTAGTTACATTGGGAACTCTACTCTTCTGGATAATAAAATTTGATTTATCCAAAAAAGAAGTTACATTACAGTTTCGAAAGTCATATATAATAAAATTCATTTTTATGACAAAATAGCACACACATATCATCGTACATATATAAGAATTTCTTTTACAAAATCCAGAAAAGCCCAAATTGTTGGGAAAAAAATCTAAAAAGCCTTAATTTTTTTTAATCGTATACGTAAATTTCAGTTTTGAATACTTATCATATTTCATGTTAGACATTCATTGTATCGCAACACTCGTTTTTTCCATTTTAATTTATAGTTAACGATCAAACCAGTTTTAGAAAGATTTTTTTGAGAATTTATTTTTCTTTCAAAGTGTTTTGTTTTGATTTTGTTTCTTTAAATTGTGTTGTAAGAATAATAAGGATGTTTTAATTTTGTTTTGGGGATTACAATAATCTTTTAATTTGGTTTTGGGAATACTAAACGTTTTTGAAAATTAGAAAAATTATGTGGAAAACACAATAATCTTTCAACTTGTTTGGGACAACGGTTATAGCTCTATTGTGTGTGAAGTGGATGCTCAGGAAGTCCTCCAACTTATCAAGAATGGCGGCAGCAATCTTCATCTTTTGGGATCTATCATCGAAGACATTCGAAACCTTTAGGATCGAAATTGGATTCTTAAGTTCCAACACATATATCGTGAATGCTCTCTCTAAATTGGGATGCTCTCTTGATGAAGAACTTGTTGTTTATGACATCCCACCTCCTGATGTGTCTCTTTTTTAAATGTGGATACGAGAGGTGTCTCGTTTTCCAAAGGTTTTACCTCAGAATAATTTTTATGCCTTTTCATTTATAACCCAAAAAAAATCATCCACATCGTCGTCGTCATGACAAGAAATGTCCACACCATTTGTCTGTTTAGAATTTAATTAAGTGATATAATTGAATATAGAAATAAAATTTCAGTGTTATAATTAGAAAAATTAAAAATTAAGTATATAAATAATTCAATCGGTAAAAATTGGTGGTATTTGGTGTAGTTTTAAAAAATAGATTACATAGAAGAAAGAGACCAAAATTTTCTTTTGCACTTTGTCTGTCAATTCAGTTACAGATCGGGGACACAGCAAGGTTTTGTGAATTTATTTCGTTCTGGGTTCAAGTTGAAAACCGAAGAAAAGGGCGTTGATCGCAATTCATGGAGAATTCGAGTGACAGTGATAGGGAAATCAGACAATTCCTTCCACTTCTTCGACAACATCCTCCGATGATTACCATTTGTTTGGTCTTCAAGGTTATCTTCACCACTCTCTGGGTGGTGGTAAAGGTAAAAAAAAAACTGAAATTCAACAAGTTTTGTTTTATTTTCCATTTTCACCAAGGCTTGTTATTGTTTTTAATTAAATGAACTGAGTTGATTCTTGGGTCACTTTGATATTTGATGAAAAAAAGTTGAAACATTGCTTGGAAAAGGGGAAAAAAGCTACTCTCTTTTGGGAAGACTCATTATTTATAATAGTTACTCATTTGTTCATACTGTCTAGGCAAACTGATATACAGCTTACAATCTGGTCAAGTTTTCTTCTTTTTACTGCTGTTCTATTTTGTTTTGGTTATCTATATGGATTGTAAAAAAAATAACCAGATCCCATTACTGGAACATACTATTTGCTATAAATTGGTTTGAAATAAAAAGGTTATGATGAAAAAATGGAAATTTGTTGATTGCTGGATTGAAATTTTTCATGTATTGTGAATTGCAAACCTTGAAGTTGCAGAGTTGTTGCATACAACCTTTGACAATGTTTATGGAAGTTTTGGATGCCGAATCCATCTGCACACATTCCCAGTAAATACTTAGTTTTGGAATCAAACTGTATAGAAAAACAAATCAAGAGTGACTTAGTTTTGAGTAAAATAAAGGAAGCTTCTGGTGAGATTTTTTGTTTAAGGGTAGTGTGATTAATTCTTGTGGTCTTGTTAAATCACTCATTTTAGTGAAACTTTTCTATGGCCATCTCGATCAAGAGAAATTTCACTAAAAGTAGATGGTATACAAAGACCACTTGAAATACGCACTCAACCCTTATACCCAAATTATCATCTGAGCTTCCTTTGTTCTTTAGTTCGCTTACTCTGTTGCTCCCTCGTTTCTACTTGATCCCTGGTCGTATACTGTTATGCAATAGTACATAAAACCTTGTGTGCCTAGTTAAATTTTTTCCACTTTATCTTCTACAAAGCTGAATCTTAGGTTTATCATGATAGTGGCCAATGCGACATCTACAAGAAGTTAAGCATCTTAATGACAAGAAAAAATAATAATACATGCAGGGATTTACATGGTTCATGAACCAAGCAGATAAGCTAAAATAAGGGAGAGTCATGCAGAGAGTTAATTGGGGAAGAGTGCAGATCAATTTGGTGCATACATATGTGCGCTGAAATCACCATTTGACCATTCATCGAAAATTTCCATAAGCATAGTCAAAATGTTGCATGCTACAATTTGGTGCATTATTAAGTTTTGCATGCACCAATTTGGTGCATGGTAAGAAATTAGAGTCGGAAAATGTGGATGTTGTTCGGCTGTTCAACCACCGCTCTGCTAGCCCAAGAAATAAACTGCTGATGGAGGAGACTATTGAATTGTTAGCGCGAGAGTGAGAGGTGATGATCAATTACGTCCGGCGTGGCGGATACTCTTGCTTCTTTGTCTCGTGATATGTCTATCGATGAAGTTTGTTTTGTGGAACCTCCTCTTGAAGTAACCCTGCTGCTTAACAAAGATCAATGCAATGCCACTCCTTTGACCCATCAAGAGAGTGAATATAATCGTATAAGGAGAGAGGTTGGAAACTCTCATGTCAATCAACGAGTGGTTAAGGGTAGTTGTGATCCTACGTGGGATTGTGATTTTAGTCTGTTAGCTTATTTTTTGTAATGACTTGCCCATTATTATCTCGTAATTTCATTTGTTAATACTAATATGGACACTTTTTTTCTCGCTAGGTTTAGGGTTTTTTAACGCGGCATATGATAGTATTTTTCTATTTTATAAATTTTATAGGTGAAGATCAAACATTTATAAAAAAATAATTATTTTGATCACGATAATTTCACTTTTTAAGTGTAAAATTTTACAGGAACCAAGATATTTTTCAAACATAGTTAATAAAATTAGGGATAAATTAATTAAAATTCGTTCCAAGTTTTTTTAAAATCCATTATAGGGAGTAATATAGCAATTTAAACCTATTAATAAACCCTGAACAAAAATGTTCAGAGGGAATAAAAATAATATTGAAAATTTAGGGTTTCATCACGCAGTGCCAGGCTATAAAAGGAGCATTGCTTTTAACCAAACCCTAACCCCTCGCGAGAAGGCGGCAGAAGCAGAGAGCGTCAAGTTTTTCACCGGCTCCCAACAGATGGGCAGATATTTATTTCGTCTCTAGTTTTCCATCGACTTCTTTATCAAAACGTAAATATTTTTTCTCCACAAATTTGATCTCTCTGGATCATTGTTTCTTTTGTAGACTTTCAAGCGTAGGAATGGTGGTCGCAACAAACATGGCCGTGGCCATGTCAAGTTCATCCGCTGCTCTAACTGCGGCAAATGCTGTCCTAAGGTACTTTTCATTTGTTTTCTCAGCTGCTTCTTTGTTTTTCTCCATTCTCTTTCTGTTTGGAGGATTTCATTTCTTTTTTTGGAATATAAAAGGATAAGTCGATCAAAAGATTTCTTGTGAGGAACATCGTGGAGCAAGCTGCTGTCAGGGATGTCCAGGAAGCCTGCGTCTATGACTGTAATTTTCATTCATTTCCCAATTATATTTTACTTTTCTCATTCTAGTACTTATAACCAGGGATTTAAATTACGTTCTATGTTGTGTTGTTTGTGTTTATCACGACTGTGAACATATGAGATTTTATTGTGGTCATTGCCGGTGTTGCGGATTTTTTTTTAAGGAATTGATTTTTTTTAAAAGGAGCTGATTTTTTTAAAATAAAATAGGGTAACAATAACAGGAATATCGGCATGTTATTGCCGCATTTGGCCACTACCCATTAAATTGCGGCCATGATCCACTGCTGATGGTGTGATCCCACATCACACTGCTATTTTCCGCAATAGCAATTACGGCTGCCGCCGCTTTCATTGTATAGCGGCCACTATTCTGTTACCCTGCCACTATTTGAATCCCTGCTTATAACTGGATTAAATGTTTGATTAATTGTTTATAGCGTACACTCTACCTAAGCTGTATGTGAAGATGCAATACTGTGTTTCATGTGCGATTCACTCCCACGTTGTGAGGGTTCGATCCCGCACTGACCGGAGGAACCGTGACCCACCTCAACGCTTCATCAGACGCAGGGTACTTCTTTTTGTAACCCATTATTTGATGCCTTTCACTATCAATGATCTATATTGTGGTGTGCATGAAATGCTGTTCTTGCTATGCTTGTATTGCTTATCATTTCCTTTCATCACATGACTTATTAAGATGATTTTTTTAGATGTTCAAAGTTATGTTAGTTTTGCATTATAGTGTAGGGCTGTTAACGGGATTTTAGTCATTGAACACCTCCATGGGTTTCTTGAGCTATGACCAATTGCTAGAGTGGTTCTCTCCTTTTAATATGCTATGTAGAATTATTGAAAGGGTATTTTTGCAATTCTTTAGGGTAATGCTAGGCTTCTTTGTGAGCAGAAGTTCTCAATTCTTAGGGAATATCTAGTCCCTAGGACTTAATAGCCATCTGGATCACTTTTCCAATACCTCTTTTTGTGGCTTATGATCATTGTCAGATGCGAAATGCCTTGAATATAATATAACTGATACATAAAAGTTCTCCATTACTGATAGAATTTTTGCAATGTTATGTTGACTGTGAGCCATGACCATCATTAGAATGATTCTCTATCATGTTATGTATGATGCAAGTCTTTAGGGACTTATATATGCCCCGTCTGCTGATTTTTTTAAGTGCTTTAGGGATGAACAAGTCCCTTATAGTCAATAACGATCTAAATCACTTAGTCAGTGGCCTTTTCTTGGTGGATTGTTGATCAATTTGTTATGGGATATTCCTAGGAACCTAGTCATGGAAGCCGTCTATAGGGGCTGATAGAATTTCATCGCCAATTTTATCAAAATGATACCTATTTCATCTTTTTTTTTATTAAAATAATACCTTAATTTTTTATTTACTTGCACCTATTTCAGCCGCATAGGATAAAGGCGCTTCCAAATAAGCATGTCTTACCAAAGGCGCTCCTAAGTGGAAGCACCTTTGGATTATGTGGCTGAGGTGGAAAAAGACACTTCTTGTTCATCGCGCCTTTCACTAAAATCACCCTTGCGTGGTGAATGACAATGAAAAGTGCGTTTAATAACTATGCCTTTCTAATATTAAAAAAAATTATACGGATCAAAGTATTTATTTGGCTCGATGAACTGAAAAATATGAGTGTTGGTTTATATAAGCATAACTGGAGTATTAGTCTTTGTTTCTTATCAGTGTGAGATTTAAGAGCTAAATATTTTTTTTTTACTTTTTTCTTATATAATCTCTATTTTTTATATTTATTGAATCCCAATGGGTTGAAATTTAAATTTAAAATACAAATTATTGTTTTATAAATTAAAATTAATTATTTTAATATTCTAAAATATTTAAACACTTAATTTTATAAAATATAAAATGAATTTTATTTAGAAAATTAAAATTAAAATCAAATAAATAATTATGTATTTTATAATAAATTGTTTTTATAAAATTCTGCCAAATTGAGTTTGAGATTTAAACATTCTATCTATAACTTAAATCAAGTTCCATGTAAAAAATATGAACTATTATATATACACAACAAATATAAAGAAAATAAATTTTTAACTAAATAAATTTGTCAAATATTGAATTCATTAAATCACTTAAACTTTATTCTTCATACCTAAAAAGCATGGAAAGTGAATAAATGTGTTGTAATAAATTATTATTAATTATAGAAGATCATAACATTTAAATATTTGTACAAATTAATTTGATTAATATATCTAATTGAAATTTTGAACATTAAATAAATAGATTGTACAAACATGAATTCACTATTGAAGTAAGCTGCAAAATAAAAAATTAAAGTCGAAAAATACAAGTTTTCAGTCGGTTATAGAATAGAAGGCCAACTTCAATTTTATATAAAGAGATAAGTTTTTAAATCAATTTATATGATAGTCATTCACTTTTTAATTTATAATTTTTTAATTTTTGAAATATTTAAAAAAATAACAGTTTAATCTATATTTTATAAAATTAAGTGTTTAAATATTTTAATATATTAAAATAATTAATTTTAATTTATATAAAAATGATTTGTATTTTAATAATAAATTTTAATCAAGTGAGATTAAATAAATATAAAAAAAGTAAAGATTATATGATTAGAGGAAGACTCTTTAGCTTTTGAATTCCACATTAATAGGAAATAAAGTCTTAACATTCCAGTTATGCCTATATAAATTAAAATAGTATGTATCTTTTTCAATCTACGGAGAGTATGTTATTACTTTGGTCTCTAGTTTTATTTTTTAAAATTTTAGAAAAACATAGTTGATGAAACTTGTTTTCTGTTTTCATTTGTCATGTATGACTGGTTTTATTGGAAGACACTGTGAACTGGAAGTGCCTCCCTCCACTTGGGCACGTAAGTCAAAGATGCTTCCACGAACGCCTTTAATAAAGCGTGTTTATTTGGTAGCGTTTTCGTCTTATATGGCTGAGATGGGTGTCGTTATGGGAAATAAAAACATTTGAGTTTTATTTTGATAAAAAATAGATAAAATGAATATTATTTTGATAAAATTGCCGATTTGATCAATGTTTTGCTAATTGTGATCCATGACCATCATTAGAATGATCGTCTCTATTATGTTATGTATGATGTAAGTCTTTAGGGAGTTGCGATGAAACGAGTCCCTTATAGTCAATAACCATCAAAACCACTTGGTGGCCTTTCTTTGGTTGCTTATTGATCATCATGAGATATTCCTAGGAACCTGGATATGGTAGTCATCTGTAGGACTCAGAATTTTGCCAATGTTTTGCTGATTGTGATCCATGACCATCATTATAATGATTCTCTATTATGTGATGGGATCATACACTTTTCACATTATGACCCCTGGGCACCATTCTAGTGGTGTGTTGCATTTTTATGGACCCATCTGCCCCTTCAGATGAAATTTTTTAGTGTTTTAGGAATGAACTGTTCCCTCGTGCCTAATATCAGTCTAAATCACTGTGTGGGTTGCCTTTTTTGGTTGCATGCTGCCTCATTATAGGATGGAAAATGGCTTATATAGTACATGGCAGATATCTGTAGGTGTAGGGGTTTGTGAAGTCTCAATTTTACATAATTTGTTACAGAAGATTTTCCCCTCAAAAAACAAGGAGAAAAGCATTTTTGCAGAGACGAATGTACTTGGAGAGTACCCTCTCTATTGTTGACAGTTTTAATTGTGGTTGCGGAAGCATCCATGCAAGTGCTTTGTTTTCCTTTCATGTTATGGAAATGAGCTCATGAATTCTATTGGATTTGCCATCAAAAGCTTCACTAATCGTATATGTTGCTTTATTCATACAGGAAGATATGCCAAAGCCTGGTCAGCCTGGTCAAGCTCCTCGTCCAGGCGTTGTCGTTCCACCGCGTGCTTAAGGCCCTTGAAATTTCAAGATGAATATCTATTTCCAATATTATGCTTTGATATGGGCTTATTTGGTTTTTGAGAAGTTGAATTTGGTTGGAAGGTTTTGATTAATCAAGTTAAAGTTTCATCTTTTTGAAAAGCTACGAATGGTTGAGAATACTACTAGTTGGAATTTCATAATTTCTATTTAATTGCTTATTGTTATTCATAATAATCTTTCACCCCCTCGGGATACACTGCCTAATTATTTTACATTAAAGCTCTATTTTCCGCAAGTCTGCTGATTTGGATCATAGTTCAAGAAAGATGTGGTTTGGTCTCTTACGTTGTTGATTTAGTAAAAATCGGTCTCTTGGCTGTTCATTAACCCCAGTAATAGAAGTTTGATTTTATATTTAAATAAAATAGAATCCACCAAAGTGACCAGTTGCACATGTGGTAAAACACCCGTCCAAATCAGGGGATATCGGTGAACAAGAAGAAAGCACCATCGATGGTTAGGGATTGTCCCATCGATGGTTAGGGATTGGCATGGGTTGAGTTTTGTTTTCGACCAATCCAATCTGATCCGATAAAAATATGTATTTCACCCTAAATTTGAGCTGATCAGAGTTTAGGTAACTTTACCTAACTCAAATCTGACTCATCTTTTGAGATAAAAGTCTTACCTAACTTGACACAAATATATAACTCTTAATTTTATTTGATAAAATAGAGATTTAATTAAATAATAATAATATAATTATATTATTTTTCGAGTCGGATCAAGATTTGTCGAGTTCGGGTCACTAATCAATCCCTAAGTTGGTGATCGCTTCTTTATAAACGCTGCAGGTAATTACAGAGCAACTTTTCAGTAGAAGAGATTGAAGTAATCAAAGATATTTTCACATTTATGGACACAGACAACAATGGAAAAGTTCCGTACGATAAGCTAAAGGTCGTTCTTCGAAAGGCTGGTTCGCAGTTGGCTGAAGCAGAGATTAAGATGTTAATGGAAGTGGTATGGTCCCTTTCTTTTGTCTGCTTCATTAACTGAAAGATCAAAACTTAGCATCACTGTTACTTTCTCATAATCTCATTTGATCCCAAGAACTCGAACGTCAACTCGTGTTTTTCTCTGTGTTTATCTATTTGTCAGACTAACTAACGCGTTAACATGATCTAATCTTTTTTCTGGACTACCTGCTAACGTGATGACTAGAGTGTAGTATTTAATTTAGTATAAATCAAAGTTTTCTCAGATGAAAGCTCGACAGAAATGGAAACCAAGGTGCAGTACTGGGTGATGGTTCTTTTACTTTACCTGTTGAGAATGTCCAAGTTCTTGCATCCAATAACCTAAAGAAAATCTCGTCCAGAGATCGATTTTGATGTAGTTTCCATAGATGAATCCCTTGAGGTTCCTCTGATTGGCATGAGCGAGAATGAGGTTCAAGAGCTTGAGTCTTAACTTGATGAAAGATGGATCCTTGCAACTCCACGATAACGAAATAAAAGTCGTCAAGATGACCTCGTTCGTCACCCTATACACCGCCACTCCCATGCTCACCCCCTGCGCACGTAGCCTCGAACGAGAAAACCCAAGAGTCACTAGCGACACCATAATGCCTCTAATGTTGAACAGAAGCAAAGCTCGACGTCCCAATTTGTCGAGCAAAGACGTGGCTACCAAGTTGAAGATTGTCTTCCACTGACGGTTATCGTCGCGAGTAACTTGTCATTCGATTATGTGATTTAGCTTTATCGAAAATCCTTAGATTGTACAAAACGATGGCGTCGACTCTGAAGGCTCGTTGGAAGAAACAAATCTGTGGCGCAAATCAAGACGTGTTTGTTGGGTGTGCGGCGTAAAAATAATTCCCAACACACCTTTTTTTTTCCATGGGCATGCTTGCGGATGACGTCGACACTGACGTAATCTTGGGGATTCTTAAAGCTTATTTGATGTAGTTTAGTCGAAGTTGAATCGAATTGAGTTTTATAGAATTGAGTTTTATAGAATTGAGTCTAATCTAATTGATTCGATTCAATTTGAATAGAATCGAGTCGAGTTTTATAGAATTGAGTCGAGGCGTATTGAATTGAGTCAAGTCGAATATAATAGAGTCAAATCGAGTTGAATTGAGTTGATTCCTATAGAATCGAGTCAAATCGAATTGAGTTGATTCCTATAGAATCGAGTCGAGTCAAATTGAGTTAAGTCAAATCGAATCGAGTCCAGTCCAGTCAAATGTGTTAATTCGAATTGAATTGAATCGAATCAAATTGAGTCAAGTCGAGTCAAATCAAATCTAGTCAAATCGAATCGAGTTGAGTTAAATTACGTTGAATCAAATCGACTCGAGTCGACAAGTTGAATCGAGTCGCGTTAATTTGAGTCGAATCAAATCGAGTCAAATTGAACTAAGTCAAATCAAATCTTGAATCAAGTCACATTGAATTGATTCAAATCAAATCGAGTTGAGTCAAATCAAGTCGAGTTAAGTCGAGTCAAATTAAGTTGAGTCGAGTCAAATCAAATCAAGTTGAGTAAAGTAAAATCAAGTCAAGTCAATTCTAGAGAATCGAGTCAAGTTGAATAGAATTAAGTCTATTTAAACCGAGTCAAATTGAATCGAGTCCAATTGAGTTGAATCGAATCAAGTTGAGTCAAATCGAGTCACATAGAATTGATTCAAGTCAAATCGAGTCGAGTCGAATAAAGTTGAGTTGAGACAAGTCAAATCCAATCTAGTCGAGTCAAATCGAATTGTTTCAAGACTATCAAGTCAAATAGAATCAAGTCGATTTAAATTGAATCGAGTTGATTTGATTCGAGTCGAGTCGAGTCCATTTGGATAGAATAAAATCGAGTCGCGTCAACTTGAGTAGAATCGAGTCTAGTCGAATTGAATTAAGTCGAGATGAATCGAGTCCAATAAGGTCGAGTTGAATTGAGTCAAATTAAATCAAGTCGAGTCAAACTGAATCGAGTCAAGTCTAGTCGAATCGAATCAAGTCGATTTGAATGGAGTCAAGTCGAGTTGAATCGAGTTAAGTCAAATTTATTCGAGTTGAATCAAATCGAATCGAATCGAGTTGAATCAAATTGAATCGAGTAAAGTTGAATTGAGTCGAGTTGAATTAATTCGTGTCGATTTGAGTCTGGTCAAATTGAGTCCAGTTAAATCAACTCGAATCGGGTCGAGTCGAATTGATTTGAATCGAATCAATTTAAGTCTAGTATAGTCTAATTGAGTCGAATCGAATCAAGTCGAGTCTAAATGAGACAAGTCGAATCAAATCGAGTTGAGCTAAATTGAGTTGAGTCGAGTCAAATTGAGTTGAATCAAGTTAAACTAAAGAACAAATATAAATAAAATACATTTTTATCTTAAGAGAAACTAAAGTATATTTTTCAAGTTAAGATAAGAATAAAATGTATATTCTAAATTTAAGGTAATAATAAAATATATTTTTTTGAAAACATTATAGTAATAAAATATATTTTTTGAAGTTTTTTTGCTTTATATTTTTGTAGTGAAGATAATAATAAAATATATTTTTAAATTAATATAAGAATAAAATATATTTAATAAGTTAAGATAAAAATAAAGTATGATTTTTAAAGATTTAAAAAAAATCACTAATTTTATTCAAAATAAGAAATATCTTAAATTACAATAAAGATTTGCAATCATAATCATAAATTAAGTACTTAGGACAATTTACTATAATTATTGAAACAAAACTAACAACTTAAGATCACATAAGGGATCAAGCTACATGTATTCAAGCTACTGAAAGGTCATTAACAAACTGCAAATCAGACTCGAGCAACTTGAAAAGCTATCCACGAACGCATAACAGGTATTCAAATCCAATCCGATGGTCTAAAGCAAGGAAGATCAACAATATAACAAATAAGTGCCATCTTATCAGTCGTGACAATATCTAATTAACCTTTAGATAAATGAAAACAACGGTCAAACGACCTGAAAATGTGCCAAAAGAAAGAAGAAAATGTGTCATAAAGACATATGAAAACGTGCCATACAGAAAAACTTATTGAAAATAAAAAATAAGAGAAAAAAGGAGAATAAATAATATTGACGATCGACAACTAACATTAAAATTGGTGCCGCTTCTAATCAACAAAATCAAAAAGTAAAAGAGATTAACGTATTACTAATAAGAGAAAACTCAGAAGAGATAAAGAGATATATAATTTTGATTCAATATATGGTTTTTAAAGTTAATATATATAAACTATTATGAATTTAAATTCTTAAACATTAATATATAAACTATATGTTATATGTTGTTAATTATGAACCATCTAGGTTCTAGTTCTTCTCTCCCTCGTTTTTTGTTCTACTAATTTTGTTTTCAATGATAGGAGAAAAATAAATTTATTGAATAAAATAAACTAAATATTAATATTTAATCATTTTTTTTCTCTATTAATTTTCTTTTCTATGGTCGGAGAAAAATAAATTTATTAAATAAAATAAACTAAACATCAATATCTAATCAAAGGTTGACATGTGTTATGATCTGATTAGACGATTAAACTCATTAAATTAATTTTAAATTAAGATAAAATAGATACAATATATAAGTAACATGAAATAAATGTATTATATCAAAATTTTTAGTTATCACGTTATATATTCTATTAAAAATTACTGAATAATACTTTAATTATAACAATTAAATAATTTAATTGATAAAATTAAAAGATGAATGGTAAAATAACGGTAATAGTTTACCCTAACATATATATTACCCAAATACTCTACTTTTATTGAAGTTTTAAATACTCGTGTTAAACTCAAAAAAAAATACTAACAATTTTGACGTAGTGCAGTTTAGTATAAACTCAATTTTCAAATATTCCTTAATGTACCATAAAATAATATATTTATACATATAACTTTACAAATTTTAAAATTTAAAAGATATTTTAGAATTAGGCGTTTGAAGAATTTTTTCCACCAACAAATAAATAAATGGCATAATAACAAGAATATCTTAAAGTTTGTACAAACGGCCACTTTATTTTTTTTTTGGAGTATTTCTCTTAAGGATTTAATTTTTGCTCAAAACAAATTTTATTATGTGAAAAATCGTTAATTAATTAACATT